GGTGCTTCTGCCTAGAGCGCCATTTTGCCGGAACTTCCGGCAGCTTTTAAGATCTTCTCTTTATCCCTGGTTTTGAGCAATTTGATTAGGATGTGCCTTGGTGTAGTTTTCTTCAAGTTTCTCGTGCTTCAAGGTTCACTGAGCTTCTTGGATCTGTGAGTTCACGGTTTTTATCAAATTTGGAAAGTTTTTGGCTATTATTTCTTCAAATTCCTTTGTCCTCCCCTCCTATATGTCCCACACCTCACTGATGTTCTGTTCATTTTTTACATTTTTTTATCTTTGTGTTTTATTTCGAATTGTTGTTGTTATGTGCTATTGAGTCAATTCCAACTCACAGCAACCCAATATGACAGAATAGAAAATATTCCATATGGTTTTCTAGGCTGTAATTTTTATAGAAGCAGGTCATCAGGTCTTTTCTCCTGCGGAGCTGCAGACATGTTTGAACCACTGACCTTTCAGTTAGCAGCTAAGCACCTAACCATTGTTCCACTGGGGCTCCTTCTCATTTTGAATATTTTCTATTATTAATGTCTTCAAGTTCACTAACCTTTTTTCTATAACGTCTAATCTGCCATTAATCCCATCCAATGTATTTTTCATTTCAGATATTTTACTTTTCACTTTTAAAAGTCTGATTTGGTTTTTTAAAATATCTTTCAGTCTTTACTTAGCATGTTCAAGCTTTCCTCTAGCTTCTTGAAGATATGGGATATAGGTTTAATGACTGTTTAATGTTCTTAAGAGCTCAGATGCCTACCAAAAGGTGGCAGTCCGAATCCACCAGCTGCTCCCTGGAAACCCTATGGGCAGTTCTACTCTGTCCTGCAGGGTCACTATGAGTCAGAATCGACTTGATGACAATCGGTTTATCTAGTAAATCTAGTATTTAGTATGTAGTAAATGACCTGTATCATTTCTGTGTCGGTTTCAACTGATTGATTTTTCTCTGAATTATTGTATTTTCCTGCTCTTTTGCATGTCTGGTAATTTTTGATTGAATGCAGGACACTGTGAAGTTTATTTTGCTGAGGGTTGGATTACAGTAAAACCTGTAAAAGCTGGAACCTGGGTAAGATGGAAATCTGTCAGAGAAGGAAAACTCAAATATTTTGCACTAATAGAGAGTGATAGAAAAGTGGTCAGACTGTACCCTGTCAAAGTTGGTAAACTTGCAAGATCCAGAAAAACAAGGCAATCCCATCACATTCCAGCTCTCACAGGTTTCAATGTATTTGTATTCTTAAAAGTATTTTTGAGCTTTGATCTGAGGCATGGCTAAGTTACTTATGAACAATTTAATTATCCTGGGTGAGTTTTTCTCTACTACTGGGCAACATCATTCTTATTACTCTATGAGGTTTTCCACTCTAGCTTTTGGGAGCAGGCTCTTTCCCCCGCCCTGTGAGTGCTGGGTGCAGTTCCTTCTAATTCTTTTGGGTGGTTTGTTCCTTGGATTCAGACTGTTTCCTCAAACACATCATGGTCAGTACCCAACTAGAAGAGACTCTTTTGCAGTTCTCTCCTCACTGGTATTTTGTTCTATGTACCCTAGCCTTTTTGGCCTCGTTGGACTGCCAGTTCTGTCTCTTCTACTAGGAGAATCCAGCAGGATCTGCCTGTATTTCCTCTTCCTGTGTCATGGCCTGGCAACTTTCTAAAGGGAGTACACTGGAGCAATATTTAGGACTCATCTTGTATGTTTCCCGTTTCTCAAGGATCACTGTCTTTTGTTGCCTTATGTCCAGTGTCTTCAGGGCCATTGTTGCATATAGTTTGTTTGTTTTGTTTTTAGTTATTTCAGACAGGAAGGTCCCTGTTACTCCAACCTGGCTGCTAACTGCCATTAAGCTTTAATTTTTAAAAACTAGTGGGTTATTTTGTTTAAAAAACTGTTGTGTATCCTTTTCCCCTTACCTCTGCCATTTCTCTGTATTTAGTTTTAGTACCATACATGTTACACAAAATGTCGAATATGATTCAGTGGATGAACTCGGGATAGGAAAAGGGGTCTTAGAGCAAAAAGATAGAGAAGTTTACTGTATTTAGTACTTGCGAGTCAAAAATCCAGAAATGATGTATGTATTTTTCCCAACAGAGGGGTTATATAGATAAGCCTACATATTGGAACATGAACTTATTTCTGTCAATGAGTCATTAATATTAATTTATTTAAGTAGGATATTGTAAATGTTGCTCTGAAAAACTAAGTGCTAGTACACTATACACCATCATTAAAATAAACAAACACCACGGAAACAATATTTAAAACGACGTTTTCACATAATACCTTCTGTTGCCATGCCCCAACTTCCCATCTTCTGCCTCACCCCAAGAGTAAACTTCTCCTTCTGAAGAGAGGGCAAGACAGTGTTTTCCTCCTGAGTTCACAGCTACTTTCTTAATAAACACATGCTGAATGGATTCAAGCAATGTTGGGGTAGATACAGACTCCGTTCCTCCAATTCCTAGTCTGCCCCCTGCACCGTAACCAGTGGCATACAGCTAAAACAACAAAAAGTAATATAAACATCAGATTTTTATCTAAATACTCCTATGCTTAGTATTTAATAAACCTTATCAATGCTCTAGACACTTTTATCATAGAAAAATGAAATTTAAAATTGAAAAAACATAGGAATGTTTAAAACCTTAGACATACTTTATCAAAGCTCTAAAAATGAAAGAAAACTATGACTATCAGAAATCTCAAATTCATAAAATGTTTTCTGACAACAAGGTCTACTCTCTGAAAAAATAATTCATTTTTGTCTGGAACACCACCTACAATTAATACAAAAAAATTTAATTATTCATTATATGTGAATCTCTACCAGTTAACATCCACAGAACCATAACCATAAACTACAAATATATTTTAATATTTCAGCAAAGCAACATATAAATCACACAACAGAACACACTAACTTCTTTTCACTCTAAGTAGGTAATTATTTTGGACCACAAAACATCTTTATTAATTTTTTAAAAAGCAGATCAGACTGCTACTTCCAAAACCATGGCAAACTATATATCCATTTCCAATAATATGGCGAACATCCCTCCTGATAAATATTAGTGTTATTTTTGCTATTTTAAACATTTTTCAAACGTATTTATGCACTGACACACTAGTAGGAAATAAGTGCTAAAGCAGAAATTGAAACCAAATACGCAAGTGGATAAATGAGCCTGAAAAGCCACCTTCCACTCAGAAGGTTTGTAAGATGTTAAGCATCTACTGTGATGGTTGAGCAGGGTATGGAGGGTAAGTGACCAAGCCTAAAAAGATACTCTATGTATAAAGGTGAGGCTTTGAAGGCCACACCTTCAGTGTAAATGTGAATGAAAAATAAGAATAAAGCAACAGAGAAAACTGTCTTTCTCAATCTCAGCACTGAATGCGAGGGGGGGATATCTCCCCTGAGAAATCATAACCACAAAAACTGATCCTCATGTTGGTTTTCAGTCTGAACAGCTACCTATGGTCTAAAATTATCAGGTAGAGAATTTAATTTACAATGTCTTAGGCTGTCTCTTTGGATGAGTAATTTTAAACTAGGCCTCAAAGAGTTTCTACAAATAATTTTCCAAGGAAACGATCAGCTAGTAATTTTTTAAAAATCACATCACACAAAAGAAGGCACCATAAGTGAAAGTCAACAGAACAACAGGCTATTATTGCGTTTAAAGAAGTAAAAGCTTGAAAATATGACCAAGGAATAAGAGATTATAAAATTAAATAGACATTAAAAGGATAAGAATTGAAGTTAAAAACTCAGATACATTACACAGAATGTAATACACAGTTGAAGAGAAAATCAGTGAGTGGAAGATCAATCTTAAGAAAGTGTCCAGAATACGGCAGAGAAAACAAAGGCAAGAGAAAATATGAAAGAGGGTTGAGGAGATATTAAAGGAAAGATCTCACTCTAACACGACTAATCAGAGTTTCAGGTAGAGAAAATATGAAGAATAAGGGAGAAGCAATATTTGAAAAAAATAATGCTGGGAAATTAACCAGAATTGTTGAAATACCAATTCTCAGAGCTAGGAACCCCAACACCACCAACCACTCCCCTCCTTGGCCAAAAAAAAAAAAAAAAAACTGGAGAAATAAAAATAAATGAGCATCTAAATATAGTGAAACTATAAAATCACACACACACAAAAAGAAATCTCAGAAGCAGTCACAGATAAAAGATTTATTACCTTCATTTGGGTAAAAATTAGTCTGACTACTGACATCCTATTAGCAACAATGAAAGCCAGGATAAAAAAAAAAAAAGAAGAAGAAAAACTTTAATAGGCTGATTGAAAATAATGGTCGACTGAAATTTTTATACTCTAGAACAGGGGCTGGCAAGTTATAGCCTGTGCATCAAATCTGGCACACCACTTACTTTTGTAAATAAATTTTTATTTAAACACAGCCAAATCCATTTGCTTACACATTGTCAACAGCTGTTTTTGTGCAACAACAGCAGAGCTGAGTAGTTGTGACAGACTCAATGGCCTGAAAAGCTGAAAATATTTACTATCTTGCTTTTTAGAGAAAAAGTCTGCTGACCCCTGTCCTAAAAAAGAGCAAAATAAAGATACGTTCAAATAAACAAACAAAAACAATCAGATAATTAACCAACCCACCCACTGCCATCGAGTCAATTTTGACTCATAGCAATCCCACAGGACAGAGTAGACCTGCACCATAGGGTTTCCAAGGCTGTAAATCCTTATGGAAGCAGACTTCCACATCTTTCTCCTAAGTAACAGCTGGTGGGTTCCAACCACTGACCTTTCGGTTAGCAGCCGAGTGCTTCAACCACTGCACCACCTTAAGTAACCAACAAAAGACTCTAATTACAGAGGCAATTAGCCACACATTCCATTCTTTCCTGTTTCTGACTCTCTTTCTTCCTCTGTTGCTTCGGGTGAAGACAAACCAATTATTGTGCCTTGGATGGCCGCTTCCAAGCCAGGCACTACACAACAAACTCAGAGGTAGAACAGAAGCACTAAACACGTTCTTAGGCCAATTAGCTGGGATGTCTCATGAAACCATGACCCTAAACCTCCAAACCAAGGAACTATATCCCATAAGGTATTTGGTTGTACACAAGCAGTCTCAGAAGGTACTCTCTATTGTTGCTGTAAATATATCTATCACACAACTTTTGCCAGTTCAACTTTTTACAGATGTACAACTTACAGACAAAAATTACATTCATCAGCTATGCAATCCTACCCTTAACCAATGTGATTTTTCCATCAGCATAAACCAAAACTCAGTGTTCCATAAGTTCCCTGCTCTCCCCCACACTCCCACCCCTGGTAACCACTAGTAAACTTGGTCTCTATACATTTGCCTGTTCTTGTCTTTTTACATATGCGAGGTCATACAGTATTTGTCGTTCTCTGATTGACTTATTTCACTGCCTCCTTTGCCATCAGACCAGAAGAACTGGATGGTGCCAGGCTACCATTATTGAACATTTTGATCAAAGATTCTATAAAGAATCCTGATCCAAAGGGGGAAAATGCAGAACAGAACTTCAGCTTCCCATGAAGTCCAGACTTTCTGGAGCCATGGAGGCTGGATGAACCTACAAAACTATTGCCAAGATAATCTTTAAACCTTAAACCAAAAATATCCCCTTACGTCTTCTTAAAACCAAACAATAGTTTAGCTTAACTAGTAAAGAACGTCTACCTTGAGCATTGTGCTCTTCTAAGAACTATCTATATGGGATCTGACTGAGAACAGCAACATGAAAGATTAGATAGGAAACTTAGGGGACAGTGAATTTATGCTAATGGGGGAGGAACAATTCAGAAAAGGAGGGTGACAATGGATGCATAACTTGAAAGATGCAATCAACGTCACTGAACTGTACATGTAGAAATTGTTGAACTGGTGTATGTTCTCCTGTGTATATTCTTAAGAGGTAGGAATACTAAATAACTTTAAATATTAAGTATGCATGTCAATATAACCAGGTAACAAGACACAGAATCATCCAGAGAGTAGAAGAAGGGGGAGTACACCTCAACCCTTTTTATGAGGCTAGCACAACCTTGACACCTGTGGTGGCCAGATACTAAATGGTTCCCAGTGATCCTTGCTTCCAGGTATCCATGCCCCCGTGTAATCCCCTCTCCTTGAATATGGGCTGGACCTGGGGACTTGCTTCTAACAAATGGAATACGGCAACAGTGATGGATGATCACTTCTGTGTTTAGGTTGTAAGACACTGTGACCTCTCTCTTGCAAGCACTCTCTCTCTTGCCCTCTCACTTGCCCACTCTTATGAAACTAGCTGCCATGTCGTGAAATGCTCTGTGAATACCTGGCAAAGAGCTGAGAGTAGTCTCACCCTAACAGTCACAACCAGCACATGAGCAAGCTAGGAATGTAACCTCGTCAACATAGCCCTGAGATGACTGCAGCCTTGTGAGAGTCTGAGCTGAAGGACCCAGCTAATCTGCACTTAAAGTCCTGACCCAGGGAAACTGTGTGACAATGAATGTCTGTTGTTTATTAACTAATACAGTACCAAACACAGAAAAGGAGTATGTAAGACAGCAGGAATATTATATGATGATCTCACTCCTGAACACAGATCTCCCCAAAATCCTAAACAAAATATTAGCAAACACAGACCAAAAATATATAAAACTCATCTTGACCAAGCTGGGTTTATTCCAAGAACGCAAAGTTGTTTAATATGAAAACATCAATCCAATTCACTGTATTTATCCCCTAAAGGAGAAAACACTGAAAAGAGTATTTCAAAAATTAAAAAGTAAGAGAAGTCAACATCCATTCATAAAAAGAAACAGAAGGGAACTCCTGATAAACAGCATGTACCAAAACCCCACAGTCTTTAAGCGTGGTGAAATGTTCAGTGTGTTTCCTTCACAGTCTGGATCAAGACAAAGAACATGCCCACTCCCAGCACTCCTACTCAAGATTATGCTACAAGTCATACCCAGCACTGTAAGCTCTCTTTCTCCCTCCAAAGAAGTAAAAGAAACAAAAGACAGAAGGACTGGAAAGGAAGGAACAAAATTCATTTACCAATGGTAACTCTCTAGGAAAGATAAAAAAATCTTGAGATACGTTAGAAAAGAAAGAGTAGAATAAGGTTACGGAACATAAAATCAACATACAAACATCGACTATTTCTGCACACCAGAAGAAGTTAATTTTTGAAAGATGCCACTGACAACAGCAAAGAGGAATACATATAACAAATAATACATAAAAATTATCACATACCTTATATATATGCTGTACTTCAAAATAAAAAAAAATTAAGAGTTACAGAACACATCTAAAGAGCACACAGAAGTATTTTAGAAACGCTGCCAGCATACCCAAAGTGCTATTACTCTTGTTCTGATACAGAATCCTTACATATACTATGAGCTCAAGCAATGCACTCTAGCTGTAACAGCCGGTCAATTTTAATAGGAGTGTGACATAGAAAATGCACCCTCACCTTGCCATCAGCTGTCACAGCGAAGAGAGTCTGTTCCCCTCCAATGAGCTGCACTGGTCTGAGAGCTGCAAGGGCTTCACATGGAGTCGGGACTTTAACTTTGGCGCCCTCAATGCCCCCAAGCTGTCCCCTGTGGTTATGGCCCCATCCATAAATGGTGCCACTGCCACCAGCAGATAGAGTCCAGTCATCTGGTCGCCTACGAAAAGCATCAGGAGAACATGTGACATGAGAAAAAACTGTACGTGAAACACTTGTCATTGCATACACCATCATTTCTTGTTCCTAACATAATAACCTGTTCATCCACTGCACAAGTTGTTCATCTTGCTCTCTTTTAAAAATGTCATGGCTTTCATGGAGAACATCCAGGTTTTCGCTGTCTGCCATTAATTCACGAATTTTCTTAGCCACCTAGACAACAGATTTAGAGATTATAAATCACTCATCTCACAAGAATAAAACAAATAATATTAAGACAAGGAAAAATCCCTGCCTGAGAATATGAGGGAATGTCAACATCAACATCATGATTTTAAGGTTAGTAAGCAAAACCAAAATGATTATATTAAGTGTAAGATACTGAAAGTTGTCTAGATAGTATCCTTGGTTTACATTACTAATAATAAGCTTTAACTGGAATCTTCAGCTTGTTTACCCATTTTCAGCCATGGACTTTTCTTTCTGGCATTCCTTGGCAAAACAAATGTCTCTGTGTTCATAAAATTGGCATCTTTTTACACTGTATCTAAATAAAGAAAACATTTTTGCATTCCAAAAATTATTCCAAAGTAATGTACACTACCTCCTCCAGAAACAGGCGTGGCAATGGTGTTCTTTTATCCAGGGCCACAGCGACTCGGGAGGCCATGCAGTACCTTCTGAACCAAGCCCACTTGTGTGTCTCAGCACAGCAAGGGAGAGTGTCTAGTTCCAGATCGCAAGCAAGAGCTACTAGTACCTGCAGCCACCAAAAATTAAAAATACAGAGACACTTAAAATACAGCTACCATCCACTTCCCCCACGCTGCACGCAAGATAAGGCGACCATCACTAGAGCCATAGCAGGGTTCTGAGGGTCCTCCTTCAGGAGCCCTGGTTCCACCTGACGGTCATGTGCTGTCATCGACAAAGACTGCCCTACACCACGCCTGGTGAGGCACCCAACACCCAGGACCTCAGATCTGACAACTGCTGCAGCACTTGTGGCGTGAGTCATACCAAGAAGACCCGTGTGTCACAAAGCAGAATGACACTCAGTTGAAGCATCACACGATATCATTTCCTGAAATTTTTCATATTCATCTTCAGCAATACCTACAATGGCTGGCTATCAAGGAGGTCTAACATGCGATGCCCTACAGATGACAGTTCTTGTGGTGCTCCTGCCAGCCAGCTCTACCATCACTTCAAATACAAATCGAGTGTCACCTTAAAGAATGGGCTGTGGAGCAACTGTTTGCCACCTCTCACAATAGGATCTTCATATTCAAACTGCCTCTGCAATGCTTCCGGAAGGCCTTTCACCAAAGCAGCCAGTGCACTGCCTGTAAAACTCTAAGAAAACAATAAAAGAAGATTCTGTTCCAGGAATCCAAATGCACAGATGGGAGTTTGTGACAGCACATACTTGCTCTCTTGTTTGTATGAGTAGCACACACTTGCTCTTTTGTTTGTATGAGTTAGATGTTTTAGTGTATATTATACAAAGATCCTATATCTATATTATAAATATAAATATTATATAGATATTGCATATATATATGATACATATAACCATTCTTCTATGAAATGTTTATCAATATTCTCAAATAGGCAAAAAACTAAAGATGATGACCAAGAAAATAGAAAAGGGGAGTCTGAAGATTTTTTCAGAATGTTTGGTTTTGATTTCAGTACAGCCATTCCCGGGTAACCAGCCAAAGTCCCTTTCTGGCCTGCAAATCCCACCCTGGTCTCCTCTTATGGTTAGGATTCAGTATTCTTTTAACAGTAACTATCGTATCCAGCAAAATAAAGGTGATGTGGGGAGTCAGACATGTTGTAAAAGACCAGTAAAGACAGTCCTATGTTCACAGCCACCTATACATCAATTTTTTTAAAAGCAAAGTCCAGCACAAAAACAGTTTCCAACACAGAACAGTTTCCAACAGGAAAGAACAAGATTAAAAACGTCTGGGCACAGAATATGCAGTAACATAAGGAAGTCTGGACAAAGGACTCCTTACATTTATGTGAAATTTCTCAGCTTTTCTCAGTGACTTAGAGGTGTAAATTATTAAAGCAACATTTTATTCCCAAAGAGTCAAAAGTCTAGAAAGCATAATATAAAGTTCCATACCAAAGCTCTTGTTTCTCCGTCATGATCACCAAGTAGCCTGTTTATGTTAATGGACTGCCCAAATTCGGTGGTGAGCAGCTTCCTCAGTCTTTGAAGGGCCCACATCCTATGACTGGCAGCTGAGACGAGGAGGCAGAAAGTATTAGAAGCTTGAACATTTTTCCAACTAGTAAGACAGGTGTTAATGAGAAGATGCCATTTACCTAAGGCACTCAGCTGTGCGCACGCAGCGAGGGAGGCCGCCAGGCGAGGGACAATGCTCCTGTGAGAGGCAAGGCTGAGCCGGAAGTCAAGCAGACACGTCACCAGGTCCATGGATGGACAGGAGAGGATGCAACGGTCGGAAAGGAGGTCTTTTGGGCCTGTGGATAAATCCATGTAAATTTCCCCAGGATTGACAAGATGAGGATGACAATCTTAATGCAGTAGTTAAAAATCCTACTAACAACAGTGGCTCCTTCATCCATTTGGAATGCAGTTGATTTCTCAGTTACATTAACTATGCACTTAAAACTCACATTTTAACTTTAAATCAAATGGCTACAGAATTGCAGGCAAGAACAACCACCCCTTTTCACACTGGTGAAGACAAAGGACTCCTATCCTAACATCTAGACAGTGAAGGCGGCTCTGTAATTCTGTTCCTCGCCTTGCCTTGGAGGGACTTTCAGCAGCACTTACTCCCTATGCAGCAAGAGAATGTGGACAATAAGATACTAAATGAAAAACCTATGTGTGTCCACCTTGCTAGGATAATGGTCCTAGGCTAATTCCCTGCCCCCCTTACCTGCAGCAGGCATGATGGGGTAGACAGTGAAGCGCCAGCCCCATCCATTCACGGACCCGTCGCTGATGAACTTCCACTTCAACTCATCCCCAGGGATGCGCAGCTCACTGGACCAGTCAGACCACTCACGGCCTGGTGCAGAGAAATACGCGCTGGGTTAGGTTCTTCTGATCACCCAGCATACACATACTTCTTTGGATACAAAGCAAAATAGCTCAAGCCATGTCTGAAGGACAGCAGGCTCTCCACCCCAAGTTCTCCCATGTCTGAGCTCACCACGACACCTCTCTCCTGGTGAACCGCATTCTAACATATGCCACCCGTTCCACATCCACTCCTTCAGCCCTGGGCTGAGCACTGGGGATGCCGAGGAAGTGGTCACCACCCTGACAGCAGTCCCCACCCACAGGAGAAGTGACCAGCGCAGTCACTGTGTCGTGTGCGAGCCTACAGCAGAGCCGACAACACCCAGGTTAGGAGCTGCAGAACAGTCTCTTGGGGAAGGTCTGACCTGGTGGAAGTTACCCAGACAACAGGAGCCCTGGCATTCTCCACAAAGGGACCCCCAAGGACACAGGCAGTTCAGCACAGCCAGAGAACGGCCATTTTAAAGGGAAGAGTAGGAGGTAGAGGCTGGAGCAGAGAGCCTGGTGCCTCAGTGCTTCTCTGAGGAGTATCAGGGTACAAATGCTGAGGTCCACAATTGGGATCAGGCTTCTATTTTAGAAGAACCACCTGGCTGCAGGGCGGGGGATGTACTGGAGGGGCCTCTTTCCAGAAGCAGAGAAACTAGTTACGTCTAAAAACACTGACTGACAAGTCTATCAACAGCCATTCTGTCACCCTGCCAGAAACACTCTGCTCATATGTGACCACAACCACTTTATCCAAAGTAAGACCAGGGGTTTAGATAAAGACTGTTTTGTAAGTAAAGTTTCTTGGCACACAGCCATGCCCATTCGTAGACACATGGTCTCAGGCTGCTTTCACACTACACTGGTAGAGGTGAGCAGCTGGGACAGAGATCAGATGGCCTAGAAAGCCTAAAATACTTATCTGCCCCTTTACAGAAGAAATTTGCCAACCTCTGCTTGAGACAGGCCTGGAAATGATGTCTCCTGACAATTCCAATGCTCTGTCCAACATATATACAGAATAATCACCCCGTGTGGAACCCAGTCATCACTGGAATCACTTAAAAACCTTTGTCATATGTCAGCCTTAACATCACACAAGCCCTGGTGTTCCCCACAAGGCCTGACAGCAACTTCCACAGCTCTCTGGTGGAGGCTGTTCCTTCTGGGCTGGCCGTGTTCCCAACAAGGACGTTGCTCCCACCTAGTCACTCAGGCTGCTCACCTAGTCCTGTGTGTGATACAGACACCACTGGGATAGTTCTTTTATTGAATGTACTGGGAAGTGGCAAATACAACATATTGTACTTGACAGCTGAGCAAGTGACTGTAATCTCCTTAAGGCTGACGTAGAACAAACAGTCGTATTTTATCCCATGCGTGCTCGTGGCCCGGTTTCTGCTGGCAAGCACACTGTGCACTGCTCGTCCCTTTCCCATCACCTGATCGCACCGAGACGATCCTGTTGACACCATCCATGATGGTGAGCGGGTCGTGGCGCCGTTCTGTGGAGCACTGTCGGTCAAACTCCACCCTGAGTCCTTCTGCACCTGGAGGACAAACGAGCACAGGACACTGTGACTACGCCCACCACAACACCGCTAAAGACACTTAAAGATCGCCCCTTGCCAAGGGGGAGACATGAGACAGAAACTAGGCTGATAGCCAACAAAGAAGCAGACAGGTGGAACGACTCTAAAGAATAAGAACCTAAGATTCTAACTGCCCCTCCACTCCCTGCCCCCACCCGACTTGCACCTACCGCACACGCAAGATTACTCCTGCTAACTGCAAGGCCAACTGGCTTTGTGCTCTCATTTCTAGGCAAACGTCCTTACTGCAACCCCAGTTTACGTTAATGGTAGAGGAACAACTCAGAAAAGGACGGTGAGAATGGCTGTGCAACTCAAAGAATGTAATCAATGTCACTGAATTGTACATGTAAAAAGTGCCGAATCGGTGTATGTTTTGCAGTGCATACTCTGAACAACAAAATAATAATTAAAAAAATAAAGACATAAAAAGTATTTGAGTAAGGAAGTAACCAACAACGAATGTATAAGGCAGGTAACACATGGATAATTATCAAGTGGCCCTGAAGAAGAAAACCAAAGCAAGGGGAGAGAACAAATTCTATAAACCGTAATTCAAGAAAACTGTCCTGGAGGAAAAAACTGGGAATCAGAATAAAAGCACACTCATATTTGAGAATATCATTTAGAATGACCAACATGAAAACAAAGCGATGAGCATTAAACAGAGTTACTTGTAAAACTAAGTCTAAACAAAGATTAAAAGGAATAGAGTATGTAATAGCTATTCTACTCTAATAAATATAGTATAATTATTTTAATAAATTTGGGAGAATGAATACAGTATACACAAAAATTTTTTCAACTGTTTTCAGTACTTACTGGTATTGATGGTATTAGTATTCTATCCTGAGTTTGCTGTGTACATAACGTAGGATAAAGCAAATGAATAGTTATGTGAGACTCCATCATTTCCTGCCTTTGAACCAGGATTTTAGTGTAGAAGAGATATAAATGCAACAGAAGGGGTTAAGTAGAAATTCTGTAATCCTGAATTTAAACTGAAAGTATCAGTGTGAACTCAAGAGAGAGTCAGTATATCTGACTATCAGTCTGTCCATCTGTCTGTCTATCCATCCATCTACCAACCCATCCTATCTGTCCAATGAAAAGTTACAGAGACAATGACAATCCAGTAGCAACAAGTATTCCAATCACCCAGGTTGTGGTCTTGAAATGCCATCTCCAATTACAGAAACCAGGGCAGACTCCAGGAGTAGGGTAGTAATATACAACCATCATGTCAAGAAAGTTATCAACAGATCATTAGAATCATTTCAAGAGCAAAGTAAGAGCCTCCCACTGTGTAGAAACAGAATAATCTGAGTTTCAGTAAGCATAATAATCATAATGGATTTAAACCCATCATATATATTTAAATCCACACGTTCAAAACTATATTTAAAAAAAAACAAACTAACTAGTCACCTTTGGAGAATGTTAGGGAACCAATTCATTCTCTTGAAAACTAGCAAATACAAGGAAAGAATAAAGCTTTTAACCAGCTTTTCTTATGCAAACAGTACCTCGGGGTAACTAATGCTTGAGGGGAAATGTCTCTTTGTAAGTATTCCACCTAATAAATAACAAAGCTGATAGAATTAAAACAACACACTTTGCAACTCCAATAGACTGATGGTTCCAGGCACCAACATCACAGCAACTAACATTCCAGAGAGACAGACAAAACAGGACATTATGTACCTCCTTAAACACAAGCACAAGACCAAAGGGAGCTGAATTCCCTGAGCCTCTGAATTCACTTCCTGCTGATATTCAGGTGAGACAGAACTGAGGAACAGGCTGAGCTACACCAGGAGTCAGCAGATCCAGGCTGTGGGTAAGCTCGATGGGTCAGAGGGCCCAGGTTACTCAAGAGGCGAATTGTTTAAAAACAGAAGAAGAAGAAATTAGGAGACGATCCTGGAAAGATGGTGACATGAGCAGGTTTAGAATTCCAACCAATCCCCCACAAGAACACCATGGAAAGCAAGTAGAAATCTGTACTCATCCCTGTAAGAACTCTGAAAAGGTAGGCAAAACAATGGCAGCAAGGAACCACAAACTGAAAAAATATGCGGACGAATTTCAAACGGTAGGAAGATCTATTCTTCCACTGCCCCTTCCCCTTCTGGCACAGCAGACAGATGACTGCAAAGAAGCCCTAGCTAACCCCTGGCTCACTTGTGTACTAAGAAGGGCCCCAATCTCTGGCTACAAAGGAAATAGGACAATTTCCCTTGCAGACTATTCAGGGTGTATGTTCTGAAAGGAAACCCTGGTGGCATAGTGGTTAAGAGTTTGGCTGCTAACCAAAAGGTCAGTAGCTCGAGTCCACCAGGCGCTCCTTGGAAACCCTATGGAGCAGCTCTACTCTGTCCTATAGAGTCACATATCGACTCGACAGCAATGGGTTTGGTTGCACCTGAAGGACTATTCAGGGTGTATGTTCTGAAAAGTCTGAGTGCGGCCTGAAGGACTAAGACCTCAGTGGGGCCTGAATTGGAGCCCTCACAGAACAGAGGAGGGAGTGATGAGCAATGTCTGAAGGCTGTATATGCCTGAGGGTACACTGATCACAAGGTGTTTTCTGGTCAGTCTGGGGGCCACTGATGGACTGAGAACTCAGTCTGGCCTAAATCAGAGATCTCACAGGGCAGGGGAGGGAGCAGTGAGCAAAGTCTAAAGACTGTATCTACCTAAGTGTCTTACAGAAATTAGTGCTTTCAAAAGCACTATGTATACAAAGAATTGAGAAAGAAAACACACTGTCATATTCTCATGTCCTGGCTTTAACAAAAAAAAATCACAAGGCACACAATGAAACTGGAAATGATGGCCCTTTCAAAAGAACAAGGCAAGGGGAGAAACATCATCTCTATAGAAATCCAGACAATGAACAGACTGGAAGAATACAATACAACAGTATTAAACACTCTGGTACAATGGATTGCTTATGTGTGGCCTTTTGCCATGGTCTTGTGACTGGGTGGGACTGTGCAGACAGAGTAATTGTAGTCCACCAAGGGGATTGGTCAGTTTTGCCATCCCACTGGGCTTGAAATAAGCCACCTCAGAGGCGGGAAAAAGAGAATCCCACCATCACCAAGGAAGAACAGCCAGGAGCCAGCACATCCTTTGGACCCAGGATCCCTAAATTGAGAAGCTCCTGGAACCAGGAGGCAGAGAGAGAGAGATGTAACACTGAAGGCAGAAACCTGGCAGCAGAGATCCGGCAACAGAGACCCAGCTGCAGGCGATGATGGTGTGAAGAGAAGGGCCAGGGAGAGGCATGCCTGCAAGCATGGCTGTAAAGAGGCTATCCTGATGGAAGAACTCTATCCCTGAGTGTTCCTCGGCCTGAATTGTAACCTGTTACTTCCCTAATAAACCTCATCATTGTGAGTATGGTCTGTGAGTTCTGTGTGGCCACTGCAGTGAATTATCGAACCCAGCAGAGAAACAGAGAGTGCCATGGGAGGGACAGTTGGTATCAGAATTGGTAAAGATGGCAGAGGGAGGAGGCATGTCTGACCCCTGCCTCATAGGGATCTGCCCTGGGCTGTTGATCTTGATTCTTCTTCCTCCTTGTGAAGTTTACAGGAGGAGGTCAGATACAGCCCCCACGTCGTTTTTACAGACACGCTCAAGAACAAAAGAAAAACAGAGAAGGCAGAGCAGTTGCATGCCCAGACGAAAACAAGCAAATATAGATAAAATCAGTAATCTCAGAACTCTAGACATCAGTTAAAGAGTTCGAGGACCAAAGGGAACACTGAATCGAGTAAAAGGTAAAAGTACAGACTGTGGAAGTGTGGAGGTTCACAGAGCGTCCTCACTCCACCCCCACAATTGCTCAGCTCAGACATCTTGGGGTGGTGACAACTGGCGCAGAGCACAATGTGGCCTGGGCTTTATGAACAACCAGGCCCCAGTGAAGGCACTGCACACAGAGACATCTCAGCATGCAGAACTAAGAAAAGGGCACGTTAGCGCACTACAGGTCTGGGAAAATACAGGTCGCAGAAAGAAGTGATGTGCAGAGCGCAGTAAGGCCCAGACTTTGTGAACACAGCTCAGGCAAGGGAGACTGAGCAGGCAGACCCAAAAAAAGAGCACCATGGCACACTGCAGGCCTGAGACTGCGTGGGTTCTGAGAGGAAGTGGCATGTGGTGTAGACTGCAGACCAGACTTTGTGAAGAGCCAGTCCCCAGTAACAGTAAGTGACAAGCCGGGCCTAGAGTGGAGTGGTTCGGCAAGCACAGCATAAGCCTGAGTTCCTGGGCATGCAGGTGTGGGACGGAGAGGTTGGATAAGCACAGAGTGGGCCAAAAAAACTGAGAAATCAGGCCTCTGGCATTGAGAATCAGCGAGTATTGCGCAAGCCTGAGTTCCTAAACACCAGGGACCAGGACAGACAGGCTGGGTGAGCAGAGTGTGGACTAAAACACCTGAGCAATAAAACCTGGGGCAGAATGACTTCGTGAGCATAGCGCAGGCATGAGTTCATGAACCATGGGCCCAGGACAGAGACTTGCTGAGTGAAGAACAAGCACCTGGACGACTGAACGTGGGATGGAGCAGCTCAGTGAGAATACTGCAGGCTTGAGTTCCTAGGTATTCAGGCCCAGGACAGAAAGACTTGGGGAATACAGTGCAGTCCAAAGCACCTGAGCAGGCAGGCCTCAGACAGAACAGGTTGGTAAGCACAATGCAAACTGGGGTTCCTGTGTGTCCCAAGAAGAAGCAACGAGGTGAGTACAGAGTGGACTACAGTTCATGAATAGTGACAAGCGATAAATTGGCAACAGGTGTCACTTCCAGGGTGGGACTCTGAGGCTGGTGTAGCAGAGTCAACATTCCTGGAAAGGGAGTCTCGGGTTACGTCACAGCTCTTGGGTGAGGGGGTCTGATGCCAGAGCTGCACAACAGAGGACACAGGGGGTGGATTTGTGGT